GAGTTGGGCTTTGTGATTTCATGCAGAATAATTTACTTAAAAGACATACATGATCAAACTTGCCTTGTGTTGCAGAATTTCTAGATAAATTTAATGCAAATCAATGGCAAATATGCTTCACAATCTGTTGCAGTTTAATAATGGCATATAAAGTGATCAAGGAAGTAGTAACTGGACGCAACTTACTGATTTAGCTTTTACTGTATCCAGTCATGTTTCACAGCCAGTCACTTTTCCTGAAAGAAAAGGCTATTGAAAGGTTGTAGTGCTGACCACATTATTTCCTTACACTCTCAGGTCTCATTAACGCCACTGGCTTGAATTACTGGTTCTCTCCCAACAGATGTTGCCTGCCTTGAGTGTTGCACAATGGGGTCTATTTACATCTCCTACCTGCTATATTTTAGCTTTCTGCTTAGTTGACTGGACGACTGGTTTGTGGTGCAGTGAGGTCAACAGCATGGGTTCAATTCTTGCACTGGCTGAGGTTAGCATGAAGGTCCCACCTTCTCAACCTCATCCCTCACCTGAAGCAAGGTAACCCTCAGGTTAAACTCACCACTCGTCGTCTCTTTCTAATGAGAGAGCAGCCCTATGGGTGTCTGGGACTATGGTGACTTTACCTTTATTGTAGAGAATGGAAGAAATTGCTAATGTATATTTTAAATTATAATAAATAACAAGGCCAAAATTAGCTCAGGCTATATTATTAATGCAGTGTAGCCTTTATACGATGACGTTATACAAAAACTGTCCTAAAACAGTTATAATCTGTGTGATCAGTTTTTTGTGCATTTCTTCAAATGCTTAAGAAAAATCTCCCAGTAAAGTTCCCAAACAGTAATGGAGCTCCTACTTAATTAGCTCTGATCCTCTAACCTTTTGCCCTCAGGTGGTTAGTTAACTTAAGAATGACAAGTGAAAATTAACACATACATGCATCAAGTTAACATGTCCATGATCTAACAGGGACCTGTGGTAGTTATATTTGCCATTTCCCTCCCTGCTGCATTAGCCAAACCAGTGACTGGAGACATTAAATTCAACTGGATCATCCAATTTTTATCTGATAAAAAATGTTAATTGATTTACAGTAAAAGGCTGGGCTAACTGAAAAAAACAAATAAAAAGAAAGGTTAAAGAGATTACAACAATTAAGTTTCTCCAATTGTTGTACATTAGAAAGCTGTATAGATATGTCACAAAAAAACAATGCTACAGATACCAGTTGGTCAAGTAGAATTTGATTACAAAATGCAAATCATTTGACCTTTACTGTAGAAAGTATTCCTCTAAAACCCCTCAGTTTTGAGACGAACAGTATTTAACAAGGTACAGTAATGAAAAAAGAGAGACAAGAGGAACAAGGAAAGAAGCACAATGACAGCATGTAAGAAGTGACATACAGGTAAGTTCTGCTAAAATGTGTTTCATTAATGCGAATTGGCTGTAATGCAATTGATGAATAGTGAATGCTGTTTAGATAACACAAACTTTCTGCTTTACAGGTGTAGCCATTTCCCTATAATGTGATTTTCCATAGTGCAAGGTCACACAAGAACGCAATTATCGTGTTATAGGAGAACCACCCGTAGACTAACCTGTATTAGGCTAAGATGGGGAATAGGAAATGTCACAGGTAAGATTAAAACTCATTCCTAATAGTATTGTGCATGTATCTACACCCCAAGTACTGCACTGGTTTAAGAAGGAAGCTCATCACTATCTTCTCAAGGACAAGTAGAAATGGACAAAAAGGCCAGCCTGTGTATGGATGCCAACATCCTATGAATGAGTAAAAAGACTGCAATAAGTTCAATTAATCATGACACCAAAGAACAAGAAGAGATCAAAGGATTAAAGAAGTGGTATGGGAAGCATAAAAAAAGCCTAAAAGTGGAGCAAGTTCAACCAATTTAGGAGGAAATTGTTGGGACAAAGTAGGTCAACATTAAGATGCAGATACATCAGTCATTGCAGCATTTCAACATGGGAGCAAAGATTCCTACTCAGTTAAACAACCTGCTTACCTCCTCACAGCTGTTGTACAGAATCTAAAGTGTGTCAGAATGACATTTCAAACATAATTTAAAATACAGCTTGGTAACAGAGAAAAGCAGAGGGAGGGATAGGTATCCACATCATTACGCAGAAATAATTACTCAACATGTGCTCACTTCAGAAAAAGTACTGTTATGGGGTTTCTAATGAAACATCTGCTACATCATCAATAAACATATTTGAGCTGAAACAGTGTGCTGTTTCCCACCTAAATCTCTGTTCATTCAATGACAAGTAGGAGTAATTGAACAGTAGATTTCTTGGCCAGCCCCAAATTTACTTCTACAGATGTCAAATACTTTATACTGGCTGTTGGCTAAATGCTGGATTGAGTCTTAAAGCTACAGATGTGCTGTTCATCTATTCTGCTGACAAGCAATTTCACTACGCTCAGTTACTTTTAATTCAAGGTCACCAAACAGAAGAAGGTTTAAAAAAAAACTAGCCAATATTCTTGTTTCATAGTTAACCTTGGAGTAACACAGTGGTAAGCAAGAAGTGAGGATTATTCCAGTCCCTGAAAATAGAAAGCCAAGTAATACAAAGCCAAATCTCAATTCCAATTTTGACTCGTACAAGTGACATATTTTAGAACTCGTACACTCTGCTCAAGCAAGCTATAAGCAGTCAAGGCATCACATTTTCAAACAGTATTAAGTCTTCATTAAATCACTAATATTCGTATTCTTCAAAATGACAAGTCAATGGATTTCTGACATTTAAGTTCCTACTATTTGTGCTGCCCTGAAAGCTCATTTTGTGCAATCTTAATCAACAAGAGATTATTGTTAATTATTTCTGTTGCAATAAATTTCAATTAATATTTGTAAGCAACTTAATTTAAAAATTTTTAAACAAATTAGCTGGCAAATGCAAGTTTGAATTTCATCAACGAGCCAATTATTTAGGACTTGCAAAAACCCATCAGTTTGTGTAGAAAGCTGACTGTGGTTCTTCCAAGACAATTATTCATCCACCCAAGCCAGCAGCCCAAATTTAGTGCATGTATTAGTTGCCTTTCCTTCTATGTTAAAAAGGGTACATGATAAAAAGGACGGAATAAAAACAAAAAATAATTAACAATGACTGCTAAGTTGGACTTTATACAGTGTACTTTCATGGGAATGCTTATCTATGTTATCCAAACAGAAATCTGGTTGTTTAAATCAAATTGCAATTTTACAAAATACTGTACCCACAATGTTGAAACCTAATTTTGTGTTACTTCTCAACACAGGATCAAGTCAATTTGGCACAGTCGATCCACACTCGAGTCAGAAGGTTGAATCATTAAATTACTTTGAAAATTGTGCAAATACTTTAAGTCACTTATAATCAAAGCAATTTGGAGAAATTACATTGGTCAGGGTGCTATCCTGAATGGAGTTATTAAATTTAGGTGCCATCTGAATTACAATGATTCAGGTATACATTAAGGCTCTTATGACACCATCAGAATGTGGAGTTGACCTGGGTTACATTTCTCCAATGACTAATACTGACAAAACAAAGTGACTGGTTACGGAAACTTACTGTCAATAAATGACTGATGACTTTCACTGCATTATAAGCAAGCAGTTTGACTGAAAAGTGCTTCAAAGTGTCTCAGTAATACGGTAAGAACTAAATAAATACACACTCCTTACTAAAGTACAGTGTTTTGCCAACAGGATTATCTATCATATTTCATTGTGTAAATGGCTTCCATTTTACTAAAAAAAGCCTAAAACACTGCAAAGCAGTCCAAAGTTCTAATATGATAGGCAAATTCTCAAGCATAATTTTCATTGTGGCGTGATAGTCTCAAACGTCAATTATATAACCACAGTCTTAATTTCTAAATTATAGGTTTTTTTTGCTTCAGATATCTGACTGTCTTAGTTATAAAACCATAAGAAATAACAGAACTGGAGTCCGCTCATACATTCATTAGAATGGTGGCTAATCTGCTAGTGCATTATTTTGCATATTTTCCTGCTTACTCGATAAAACCTTTGAATTTCTTATCAATCAAAAATCTGTTCAAGTCATCAACATATTCCATGACAAAGCTCTCTGTGGATAAGAACCCCGAAGTCTGACAACCTTCTAAAGAAACTCCTCATCTACATCTTAAATGGGAAACACATTTTTAAAACTGTTCCCTTCAGCTCTGGGTTCCTCCATGAAAGAAAACATCATCTCGGCAATTGCCTGGTCATGCTCACTCATAATATTATGTGTTTCAACAAGTTCAACTAAACTCCAAAGTGTATAGGCCCAGCAAGTTCAGCACTTACTCATAAGTCAACCCCTTCATGCCAGTAATGATAAGAAGCCACTCAGTCTCTAGGATTAATGCACACATCCCAGGGATAGATAGATTTTCTCTGCCAATATGAATGTTGGGTAAAGAACTCTTCCTGAACCTAAACTGAAATGTGGTGAAGGTTAGCTGGATCCAACTGTGTAATTTCCTGTCTCCAGCCCTGTCATATCATCCCCTTCATTGCAAAGAATGGACACACTGTTCGCTATGGAATAATGAGCTGGTATCAGAAACAATCTAGGGTTGGGAGTCACCTTCACTGTTGACAAGAGATGGAGAGATTGAGGAACAGATGTTCATGGCCAGGTGTCTCACATTCCTAGAAATTAATTTTTGTCCATTAAGCACATCAACACACTCTCATTTCCACCATATTGTTATTGACAGGCAATTTAGAAAAGTTGTGCATGCTTTAAAAGCAGAACATCCTTTCCATGGAATTATGCTGAACTTCTGATACAGTCAGAAGATAAAACCAATGATCTAGAAATTAGGCAAGATTCTAAATTTGAGGAGATGATGAGTGACACTAGTTTTTTGCCTTTTATAAAGAAAAATATAGAAAATATTGCAAATAATATTTATTATTACATAGTACGTTAAATAAAGCGTCACAGAACAGAAAACTTACCAGAGGGTCTATTTTAATTAAAGCAAGATCTGCTTTTTCATCTATATCCTTTATTTTGGCGTTGTATGTGGCTCCATTCTTTAACTCCACTTTCACTCTATGCTTGTTAGTAACCACATGTGCATTAGTCACTATCAATCCATCTTCAGAGACAATGAAGCCTGAGCCACTCGCAACAGACCGTTCACGGTTGGAATAAGTTGCCCTAAAGTAAATGAATTAAAAAAAACACTTACAGAACTCTATTGGATGCGCTCCGTACCTTTTCTTTTGTTTGAACTGAAAACTTAGCAAAGTCTCTGCACACACATCTTCAGTAAACAATGAACTTGAGAAAAGTGGTGTTAAATGTGACACACTCACCCTGGTATAATCTTCAAAAATTTGTCTGCAAAATACATTTAATTGTTTTAGCCCAGAATTGAGCAATTTGCTCTTGTTCTGGACTCAAAACATTAACTCTGTTTCTCTTGCCCAGATGCTAGTAGACTTGCTGAGTTTATCCAGCACTGTTTTTATTTCATCTCCAGTAGTACTTGACTTTATTTTGTTGTCAGAAAGCAAGTGGTTTCAAATCCCTGGAGTGGTAATGGAAAATTGTTTACATTGTGGTGGTTTAAAACAGGCAGGGTAAACATGCAAAACCATTAGCTTGTTTTCAATTCAGAATAATCAAGGATTAACTGTACTTTAGAAAAGCTCAGACTGAATGCTTTTAGGGAGTTTCAGGAGACCAGACTAGGATCAGTGGCAAGTATAGTTTCTCTCAGAGAAAAGAGAACATTTTTTTAAAAAAAGTACAGGTCAGGGAAAGCACTGTTAGCTCAGCAGAAAAGTTCAGTTTGTGGACCTTCCAAACTAGGATTATTTGGTTAGAAATCAGCAGATTAATAAAAGAGAAGATAGTTTTATCTCCCTTGTACAAATCTGGGAGCAGAGGGCATAATCTCAGAGTAAGGCACTGCCCAGTTAGGATAAAGAAGAATCTCCCCTCTTGGAGGGTCAACAACCAGCGGAATTCTTTACCATAAGGCTGTCTCTAAGTATAGTCAAGGCTAAAATAGAAGATTTCTAATCAATAATGAATCATAGGTTATGGGGGAGAGTGGAATTGAGGATTATCACATCAGCCATGATTTTACTGAATAGCAGAACAATTTGATGGGTCAAGCGGCCTATTTCTGCTCCTACATCTCATGGTCTTTGTCTTAAGATCTCAGTTTTGAGAGTACTCATTTAAAACTCTGCAATTCATATTACAGACACTGGGGAGAATCATTTAAGTGGAACTTAAGATACGCAGAGTCTGGACTTGAGTTTCTGTAATGGATAGCCTCTGGAACCAAGACAAAATTTTATTTTGTTGTATTTTTAAAGATCTTTTTAATTGCGTTCTACTCTAGATACCTGATTTTCTTTTTGTTTTCATCTTTTCTAATAGACTTTTCTTCAGTTCTTAAAGAAACCCTGCTGACTTGTGTGATTATGTTACACTAACCATGATGTTACAACATTTTTTTTCAAAAGATTAACAAGATCTATCAAGCCAGATTTCATGTTGGAATCTATCTTGCCCATGAGTACTGTTAGCTGGGATTATAACAGATTGGGTAGAAAAACACCTTGAATTTATCCAACACCCCAAGTACTTGCTTCACGAGGTGCTTCCCACTAATATCAACAGGGGCCTTAAAATTTTAACTAGTTGGAGTGTGAGGGCCATCCAGGTGTAGCTGACGTGAAGTGATAACTTTTGAAGGGGGGGGGGGGAAGCAGTGGCCCTCAAAGAAGGTATCCACTGCTGGCTCAACAGTTTTTTAGATTTCACAAAGAGAAAAATGAAAAAAGTTAGAAACAAAAGAACCCCGGATGCTGGAAATCTGAAAAAGGGTCATTGGACCTGAAATGTTAACGCTAATTTTTCTTCACAGATCCTACCACACTGCTGAGATTTTTCAGCAAGTTCTGTTTTTGTTTCATGAATAAAGTTAATTTGGAGAATGCGATTTCTGTGCGTGCTGCACATCTGACTTAATTTCCAAACCCTTTCCATGGATTTTGACAAGCAACAGCATGTTATAGAAGGAAAATTTACAGTTGAGTGAAACACTTGTATAGGGACTCAAACCAGATTCAGTAAGCTTGGTTGAATAAAATGAAAACTCGATGATACACAAGTACATTTTACCAGTGAGGTGTCTTTGACCTGTATGTTTCAGTTTGTTTTGCAGCTAATTTTGGCCTATATTTTACTTTTTCATTGCCTCTATCCATTTCTTCAAAACAACAAAACTATAAGCAATCAAGAGGTTTGAGTCCATCCGTTTAAGAAATCAGAGAAATAAGCTGATCTGGTTAAACATGACTGGGAATCGGAGTCGGTTCTGACGTTTTGAACATGATAGCAATGACGTGCATGCAGCTTCAAAGACTTTTTATGACAGCCATATTAAAAATGTCCCTCTATCTACATTTCACCTGCAGACATTTCCTTATGGTAATTCGATCTTTGTTACAATACCTTTCTGTAGATAGAACCTCAAAAACCCAAACTGACATTCAGAATGATTGTGGGATGGATCACTGAGGTGAGAATCTGACCAAGTAAGTTTTTTTAAGAATCAGAAGCGAAGATGTCCCATCTCTCTCATTTTACCTTTAGTATAGGTTTTATTAATACACCAAATGACATATACAGGTTTAATAGGGTAATATTGAGGAGGTGCGATAAATACTATGACAATCTCATACAAACTTGTGGGAAGGACAGCTTAAAGTCTCAAAAGGAGTGAAACTGAACCTCTGGTCCTCCTCAAAATCTCTGTAACAATGTCTACCACATCAGTGTAACCTGTCACTAGTGGCTACCTTGCAACAACCAAATATTGGTCACTACAAGAGACTCTTCTAGTTAGAAGTGGTCTACCTGTTCCACACTGGACCAAGCAGGCCCTGTACTTAAAGAGAGTGGTGGCAGCAACCTTCATCAATGACCGGCAGTTTATACAGTGTAGAGAGGTGGCACGCCCATACCATATGGTAGACAGACTGCAGTGTGGATTTGATCTAATAGCATACACCACATTTGGTGGGCAGCAGTGTGAGATGTTCAAACTCAGCTTTAAGGTGTCTGCTCAAACTGCACGGTCAGCAGCAAGAGCTTAAGCTTTAACAACCCTAAAATCGAAATCCTCATATTAATCCTCAACGAGGAAGAATACTCCACTAAATCATAAATATTTCAGACCTGGTCAAAGACACAATGCAGCAGGAGAATTTGTAACTCCAGAGCAGAGCCAGGCTGTATTGAGAGGTGGTGGTCTGTGGGAGTGGTCCTTAGTCAGAGCTCAGTGACGAGTGAACAGAGACTGGAAGTTCCATGAGTAAAGCCTAAAATCCCTGGCAGGATCAGGAGGAAACTCTACAAATACTGCAGTATTCTATATTTAATTCATGATCTGTACAGATTTGTGAGGTGAGACAATGGCAACTTGACATCAGAATTCACAAGGGACACAATTGTCACAGAAATTGATGTTGAGTGTTTGTCAGATTTGTTACAGTCCAAAAAAAAACCTCAACTCTAGAAAAATTCAGATGATCAGTGAAGCTGAAATCTGGAAGCAATACACAAAAGTACTGAGAGTGGAAGATCAATGGTGACCCAGGCATCAGTTCAGTGCTTCAACTCTCATGGTACAAAAAACACAAACAAGGGAAACAAGTACAGTGAATGGGTCAGACACGTGACACTAAAAATCTTTATTGACACTATGGAGTCATAGAAACCTCATAGGTACCACATTAATTTTTTATTTGCACAATGTTTCATTAGTCAAACAATAGGACATTTTCAGAAAATGTGCACATTGAGGTCACAGTTCCAGAAAAGCAAGCAAACACCTAGCCACACAAAGAAGTTTACAAGGTAGAATAGTCTACAGCAAAAGTAAAGCCTAAAAAGTGTGACAACTGGAAATAGATGATGCAGACCTGACATTTTGGCACGCTGACATTTTTTGTCAATGGTCATCTCATAAATTTTACACAGTGACACTCATCCTGGTGTCCAGCGTTATCAGGCAGTGAACGATGGTTAAGCTGACAACACTGCAACTACACAATCCAGGAAGCATAGCACTTAAAGCAGAAGCTAAAGGACCTCATTTGAACAGGAAAACCGTAGACTTAAAGAATTAAAGGAGCTGTTTACAGCACCACACCAAAGAACATTTTTCAACTCTTACATCTCCACATACCAAAGAAGATTCTGCATTTTTCAATGAAGCAAGTTGAAAAGCACATGCAGAAATGACAAGAAAGGCATTATTTCCCTTGTCACAACACCAATTGAGTGTTTGATCATGGTTACTATAACCAAGCCAACAGAAGTATTTAAATTTATGTTGACCTTACACAGCTCAACAAGGTGGTCACAAGAAAATCTTCCATGTCTACAGTTGACAAGGGTTTAGTTGAACCCCAACAGCAGCATGTGCCTGATACTTGATGCAAGTAGTGGATTCTGGCAGGTGCCATTGAATAAGCAAATCAGGATTGCTTATTACGTTGATGACTCCACTTTCTTTCAGCAGATTATCATTTGGTCCCAGAGATGGGGAGATGAAGTAGTGGTAATGTCATTATATACAAAAACATATTCACAACAAGAAAAAAAAACTTGGGGAGAGATGATATGGGTCTGCATAGTTATCTGGACTTGGACAAATATTTTAGGACCTCTAAGAAGTGAGAACTAACACCCAGTCCTCCTTGTAGTCTCTGTAACAATGTCAATGTCAATTATATCAATTTAACCTGTAAATATTCACAACATAATTTAGAAAATAAGATCTTCAAGCTTCTGCTGCAGGGAAACAACTTAGCGCAGGACAGCTTTCTCAATAAATGACAGCATACATTCTTCTCTAATCAGCATTTTCAGTAGATATGTTATTGACAAACTGACTTACAAAGCAAGCGCGTGAAGCAACTCAAAGAAGGGCTTACATACCTGCGGAAAAGTTCAATATGAACCACGGCAGGAGCAATCTTCTCCACCACGTCAGCGATAAAATTATATTTATGTCGAAGACTGTTTGGGTCATTCTGACCTGCAAGCAAAAACTTCAATAATAATATTAGACAGCACGTGGCAACTTTTGTATTAAATCAGCCTCCTAATTGCACTACGGCAGCTTGGTATTAATATGCCAATGTCGTGTCTTAATTGTTGACAACAGGACTCCCATGTGACTAAACCCAACCGTGTAAATGCAGCAGATTGGTGATGTGCTCCACATTTCTGAATTTCTAACTCACCTAACCATCACAATGGAGTTAACGTTGAGGTTGCAGAGTATGTTAACGACAGTTTATATTTATATAGTTCCTTAAAGGAATACAACAAGGTAAATTGCTTCACAAGTAAATAATAAAACAAAAATGACCCCACACCATGAGGATATAGTTAGACAGATAACCAAAAACTGGACAAAGAGGTCAATTTTAAGGAGTGTCCTCAAGGAGGAAATTGAGATGGAAAGGTGGAGAGGCATAGGAAGTATTCCACCAAATTCTCACATTTGCTACCAACTCAGCACTCCGCCAAACCCTCCTCTCCATCTGCAAACACCTGGTTTCCCCTCCCTCTCTCTATGGCCATTCTGGCTCCTTAGTCCTGAAACAGCACTGATACCCTGGATGACTGGGTTACTTTTTGTTATGTTTAGCCCTGCTTTGCCAACTTGCACCTGTGATTGAGTCCTAACCCTAGGCGTGTATCAATCCATGCAAGATGTGTACGAAGAGGCAAAATTCTCTAACAAATAGTTACTGCTACTTTAAGCATCAGAACTGAAGAATTATCAGTGTGGATTTCTCTGGGGCTGATTAAGATGCACCGCAGGTTCTGGATTTCATCTTGTGAGATATCCAGAAGTAGTGATGTCATTGGTGCTTTCAATAGTGGTAAACATCTCATCATTCATTACTATTGTGTAAGGAAAAGTCAAGACAATGTACTTTTATTTACCCCAACTTTGCTGTAACATTGCTCATACTTGTATTATCCACATGATCTATGGGCTGAGTACAGATGTTCACCATGTCTAAATACTTATATTATCTTAAAATTATGATTCATTGAAATTAAACAACAAAGAATCTTGTAAAACAGGATTCCTTACGATCCTCAACATTATAGCCATTCAGATTAAATTCTGAGAAAGTACTGGAGCATAACCTATTGTTGGGCTTTATAAGAAAGGATGAGGTTTGGTTAAACAGCACTATGACACAGATCAGCAACTAATAGCTTCCAAAACATACTTCAAGTAGCACTCTGCCAGTCATTGCAGAGATCAAGTTTTTTTTTAAATGCCTGTTATATACTCTTTCCACTTCACCATTTTCCATCAAGTCCCAGCTGTCAGTAGTCATGATAAATTTGAATACTGTTCAATTAAATTTGCAATCAATTAGCATTTGACAAATCTATGAAGTCAGACTCAGGCATCCCTTATTTAATATGTACTAGTTGCCAAAATGTAGATTGCAATTTTGAACATGAAATATTTCTGATATTGTCCAATGTATCAGAACTGTCAGCACGTATCATACTCAAACACACAAAAACAGAAATTGCTAGAGAAACATTTAGTCGCATCTGTGGAGAGAAAGAAAAGAGTTAACATTTCAAGTCTAATGATCCTTCTTCAGTGGTCTACAATATTTATAGTTCTCAGTTTTATTTTAGTGTATCATGCTCAGTTTGTGCAGTTGATTTAACTTAAACTGGTAAAATAATTTTCCCCGTGGAAGAGGTGCAATAACATCACAGGCCATTTATTTAGATCAGGCCTACAATGTTACAGAACATAGCGAGCAGAGATGATCCCATAGATCGTCACGATACCATTGATTTGTCTAAATGTTTGGCATTTTTTGTGTTTTTGCATAGTTGCTTATCAGATGTCTGTGAAGACAGGCCTTGGATAGCCACATCAACAATTTAGCAGTTTTGATTCCCTTTGAAAATACATTCCTTTGACAAAGACTGCAACATAAGGCCTAAGGTTTCTAAAGAACAAATTTTAAAAAACCTTTCTAATCAATTAAATAACTTTGCATGCTTTGTTAACTTGCATATATTGCCAGTTATGTACATTATATTTGTCGATGCATGCAGTAAGGATTTTACTTAGCTTTGATGTTTCTTAACACATATTAAGCAACAAGATAGATGATAGGGCATCCTTGGCAGTCACAAAGCTTGGATCAGATTGAGGTGGGTGGGTCAAAGTATTTAATGGATGGGAGCTACTGTAGTCTCTTGGGCTTTATAAGGATATCGAAACGGGTCTTATCTCTTCAGCTACCTGCCTAACTCCAAAAAATGATGATCATGGACATTATTAGAATGGTAATGGTGACCGAGGCCTCTGGAAAGAGGTCATAGGTGAATGTTTCAATAATTCCATATTGTCATTCAGATTGCTAAATAACCTAGGTTGTCCACATGTAGGATTGTAGTTTATTTGGAGGAGTCATTCACTTATTGATAAAAATACGTCCGAAGGTTACAGGGACATTCTTCTTTATGGAAGGAGGTCAAGCAGATGGAGGTCTAAAGGGAACGTGGGGCCTTCTGGGCCTCTAACAGCAACACTCGAGACTGGGGCATGACCAGAATGTTTGGATTAAGTGCCTAATTAGCCACAGTCAGAGCAAGAAATTCCATTCTATGATTAGAATGTCTACTTCAATCTAGAGGGATAATTCTCACAAAACATGTTAGAAACAGTTGCCAAAACCTCAAGACACTTACATAGCCTGTTCATTCAGCATTTATATTTCAGTAGCTCTGACTTTTCTCTCACACAAAACCCATCTTAAATTGCAAATAAATTTCAAAATGACAGTTCATTTTGTATTTTGTCCAAGTTAATTAATGAAGTTGATTGCAAGATATGCAAGCAACAGTCAAACGTGTTAGTTCATCTGCTCAGTAATTTACTACTTCAAGGGCCAGCTTTAAAAACTGAAGCCACTCACTCAGTGTTTAATGTCTTATTTGTCTAAATCTCAATTAATTTTCAGCCAGATACATATCATACTAATTCTGATAAACTTAGTAGACTTCCATCTTCACCATCTGGGGAGTACAGGAAGTCCCCATTCAACATTTATTGGTTCGTGAAGAATGAAATTGTTACACATTGTAAAATAGCTGAATATTTTGTTATACTGCTGCCTCTGCCAGAAAAATGCATATAAAGTTGTTCAATAACGGCTGTCGCAGTTGAGCATGTTAGCGATCTTACTCTATGTAATACACAACAGAATGATGCCAACAAATCTGGTTCGAATCATTTTTCTTTTCCTTGAAAAATTAAGGACTGAAGAACATTGTGATACATTTCCAGAACTTCTAAAGTTGATTTTGAGGAAGTCAAGTGATTTACAAGATTTCTCTGTTTGCACATTGTATTTGGGTAAACACTAAATAAGCACTGAAAATGAGGGGTGATTCAACTCCAAAGGGAACTGATTTAATTACCAACAAAAGATTACACATTATTAAAACGTGAATAAAAATAGAGCTTTTTTCTTCACCATGAAGGCAGCCAGATGCTTTGAGGTGGCATCTGACCAAAGAAGCCAGTGAGATCTCTGTTCTATGGGCTATTCCAAAGTTAATGAGCTTTTAGGCTCATATCGCGCCAGACAGATGTTATATATGGACTTAACAATGTTAAAGTTATTCAAATGTGCCTTCAGAGTAGGAGGGGCCATCAACTTGAGTTTCGCTGAAGGTCCATCTAAAGATTCTTCTACAATAATTATTCTACGATCCAAACCTGTGGCCACTCCATCCACAAGGGCAGCAGATACATTGGAACACCACCACCTGAGAGTTCCCCTCTAAACTTGGAAATTTAACACCACAACGCTGAAGGAATGGAGATAAGTGCTGGAATTCCTCTCCAAGGGCATTGTGGGTCTACGTATAGCAAATACACAGCAACAGTTCAAGAAGGCAGCTCATCACCACCTTCTCAAGGGTAAGTATGGGATGGGCAATAAAAGCTGGCCTAGCCAGTGACACCCACATCCCATGAGTGAATTTTAAAAAAAAAACAGAACCTTAAAGCCAAAATCTCCTCTTGATGTTGGCCAGTAGGAAAATCACTATGTGGAGAAATATCATTGTATCCTTTATGTACTGGTGGACTTGCTGTAGTCAATATAATCTCCATTTTACTGTAAATAACAAAGTATGCAATCAGTGGCAGCCATTAAATGCACAAGACATGGAATATGGTGTCAGAGTGGAGCAGCTCAAAATATTTGAATTTTCAGGGCTGTAAGAGAGCAGTTATTGAAAGTAGGTAGCATAAAAAAAATGAAGTATTTGCATTTTCCACTCCCTGCTACTGTAGAATTGAAAGGAGATAGGATTTTTCTCCCCTTATTTTGGTGACAAAACTATGAAATAGCTACAGAATTAATTAGACCTCAGTATTTAAGAGGTGCAACCCTGTAATCAGTGAGAGGGAAAGAGGGATACAAGTTACATTGTAGCCTACATCTCATTGAGGACCAGAAAAAAGCAGCCTGCAGATGGTTTGAAGACAATTCAAACTCCATATTAATATGTACATTTTTTGTTAAAAATAAAAGAGCTCAAGGGGACAGGAAGACTAGTGTGACCACATTGGTATATCCAACTGAATTCTGAGACTATTGCCAACTGAAAGTGAATTTTGGAGATAGCAGGATTTCCTTTGCCCAAGGAAATTCTATGAGAGAACATCTGCTGAGAGAGAAGAAACATATTCTCAAAAACATTTCAAAATATGAAGAATCTCAGATTGTCCAATATCAGTGCATTAATGGGAGAACAACAAAACTGCATTATGCTAGAAACATACTAGGACAAAGAAATAAATGTTTGCAGGAAAATCTGCAGAAAGATAGACGCTGGAGGGCAGGATGTAAAAACTGAGGAGGACATCACACAAAACAAAAGGATGCATGTCTAGCACAGGAGAAGCAGTTATCTAACTGGAAGAAGTTAAATTCCTTTGCACGCCAGTGCTTAGCTTAGAAG